ACTTTCGGGAGCACCGGGTCATTCCACTCCAATACCCAACGGCCCAACGGACCAGGAATTTCCTGAGCTGCCCAACAGCGACGGCATCCACCAAGGCACCTCCGTCCAACGGGGCGACTCCGTCGCCAACCGTCCGTGCATTCCACCATGTGCCACAACGGCCAGGTCTCCGAGTTGGTTTTGATACGTGGACTCTTTTTTATATTTCAAGTCCCCTATGCCCTATGCGGTGTACAATCCAAATGGGGTGGTATGCAATCAAAAATCAAGAGTCTACATGTTTCTCTTGGATGGACTTGGACAGTGATGCCAAAAGGGATCCCTCCCCCAATACAAAAGTGAGTCATGTGTCACTTCGATCACCCCTACAGGTGTCGCAGATCGTCTACGTAGGGCAAATGCTCGATTTCAGGCGAAGTCGATTACAGGATGGTTTCACCAAGACCAGACCATTCATGTGCAAATATGACCTACATTCACCACCCAAAACTTTTAAAACAACCAAGTTATATAATCGATGTTTGCCTACGTGGATCCGTTTGGGAAGGGTTCAAACCACGTCTTCGTTTCTCTGGTAGAGACACTGGCATGCCATATGTGGGGCATATGAAGCAAACTCCCCCACCATCACAGGCATGGGGCAAGCTTTCCAAAGACTTGAAGCCTGAAGATGACTTGAAGCCGGAAACTCAAAAGTTTCCACAGAAGTATCCCACGAGTCACATGGAAGATACACCAACAGCACTGCGTTCGGTCGAACGCTCGTGACATCAGAGGATGAAAAACCCTGCTTTCCTGCTCCCAGCCTTCAGTGCATTGGACAGAAAGCCTCCTGCATGGCACAGCCACCGAGAAAGCCCCGAGTCTACTGATGTTGTTGATGGGCCGGCCACTCCAAAAAAGAAATCTGCCGACCATCGATCCCGTGTGAGCAAAACGTGGGAGAAGGGTATTGCCCATCAAGGGCATCCCATCGCACGCTCCTGCGGAACAAGGAACACAAAAACGGAGAAATACCCGCACGTGGACGCGTGCAGAAGTGAAGTCACGGAAACTGAAGAGCAGACAGGGTAAGCAGAAGAAAGCAAACGGACCAGGAAAAGCAACCCAAGCAAGCAGGGCGGGTGAGGGAGGGGGGGAGCAAGGGGACGCGCAGCCCACGGCACCCCAAGCACCCGAACCAAACCCACACCCCAAAACTGTCAGCAGAGCTCTTGGTTTTGTTTTGTTGCTCTTCACCCCTTGTCGTGGTTCGGGCTGAGGGTGTGGTTTGGCTGTGCTCACCCTGCCCCCCCCTCAAGGATGGTGTTTCTGTTTCTTTCTGTGCTTTTCTTCCCTTTTAGCTGGTTTATTTCGTGTACCTACGGGTTGGTCGGGAGTTAAGCTTTTTCAAGAAGTTCAGGTCCAACCCAGTTTTCATAGCATCAATTAAGGTGTTCCAACAACTGATCAGCTTCAAATGGTTTCAAAGGATTAAATATGTGTTAAATATCTTAACAGGTGAAAATATATCCGTTCCTCTGTCTACCCCTCCCCATCGGCCGCATTTAGTGCTGTGGATAGGCCCACTGGGCAACCTGTTGCATTGTATTTGGGAATATTCCCACTTCCAAAGTGAAATTCTCATTGTACCTGGTAGTAAAGATTTGATGGCCATTGAATTGGCCAATTGGAGAGCGCAAACACCTAGAATGATTTCAGAACAGCAAGCACGCTCCTATTTGTAACTATATAACCAACTATATAACTAACAACCAAACGAAACCAAACAAAACCCCAAAAAACAAAACGCACACAACTACATGGGTGTCCCGTTTTCCGGGGTCCCGGTGGCCGGCTGCTGGGAGTGGGAGAGTCTGCTCCGCGCCCTCGGGCGTCGGTGCATCGTTTTCTTTACTACTGGGACTAGTGGGCGTGTTGACAGAAGGCTTGAATAGACTAGTGGGCGACACTGGTACGTCCGATTCGGAATGCCTTTTCATGTACATGCAACGAGATGAACGAGGAGGCTTGCCGAGGACTCACCAAAGGCATACATTTTGAGTCCTTGGGCGGCCTAAGGCCAGCATGGTCCAAGTCACCCAGCCGAGTGTCAAAGGATGAAACCGACCAAACACCCGTGTTCGCCACGGAGCATCGGGATCCCTGCCTGTAGGGCGGCTGCCCAAGCAAGCCTCTACAAGGGTGGCTGCAAAGGATAAACGCTGAGTGTGAGGAAAAGACGTTTGACCCTAAGTCCCAGACGATTGACCATACTCATCGCCTCTATAGCATAGATGTGTGGATATATCTAAAGATTATTCATGTTTTTTGTGTCCTCGCAGATTCTTTGTGTTCCTTTCTTGGTCGGGGGGTCGGATTCCTGATGAAGATCCTCTGGCAAACCTTGTACAGCATTCTTTTAGACTGTTTCCCTCAACGAAAACCAGCTCAGGAATGTGTGTGAAAGTCCATGCATCGAGTGATTGGTGTGGCTTTTGGACCTCCCAACCCATGGGTGGTCTTTCTTGTCCGCACCGAACCCAGGAGGTCGAAAGAGGGTCAGTCTCCCGCAAGACGGTCGGTCGAACCCAGAAAACAGTCCGTGGACACAGAGGCTGATGGGTGTATGTGAAGATTGCCAGCCTCTGTGTCGATGCACATGTTCTTTCAACGAACCGTCATCTTTCCCTTCATCCGGCACACGTTCTGAACGGGACTCTTCAAGAAACATCCTAAGGACCAGGGCCTCTGGTGTGAGAAGGAAAACTCCTACCACTGGATGCGTGTGTCTCCCTTTAGTTTTGGGGCTCCCCTATTTTAGGATCTACTTGGATATGTCCGTGATGTTTACCACACAGATCACACAAGCACGTATCATTCATAGATATCTACAGTACAAACCCACCTACCAAACAAAACATCTCAACACCCACAAGCTCAAACCCCGATGGATATGGAAAGTCCAGTGACTACCAACAGTCCAATAAATTCCAGTCCCTCAACCTACTCCAGCAAAACGAGTAACTCATGTGTCCTGGAGCAAAACCTCGTTGAAACTCGCATGCTTTCACCGCGTCACAGGTCACCAGCTTGTGAGCTGGTGGAAAGGACCTCGAAGGGACATGAGTGTGTATTTTACAATTAGCTCCTTCCAACGTCCGAAGATGGTTATATCAATGGGCTTGCCCCTGGAAAGAGCATGATGTTCTGAGACCATACAAATGATTGTTTGTTGGAGGAAGGCTACGACCAAACGAACGCATGCACCTACTCCCGCCACCCGTCCCAGCCGCCTTTTTCTCCGCGATGCCGGAGACTAGGGGAACGACCTTGAGGGGCAACGCGCTCGCGAGGCAACGCCGCCAGGGCAGCTGGAAAGTTGCGGGATTAGCTGCTCAAATCCAGCACTCAACTCTCGTGACCTCTTTCACCCTTGGTTTTTCGGTCCCAGAAACATTTCGGTCCCAGAAAAAGAGGCCACGACCTGAGCAAAAGGAACTCACGAATCTGGAAACGGTCATGAACAAAGAAGGCGCCGCTACTAAGGACTGACCCCTCCGAACCAAACGATGTCCTGTCGCACCTGTCTGGACGTCAACATGTTTCTGTCTGCAGCCATCAGGACGCGGCGCGTCGGGCTCCTTCCAGTTCTTTGTGGGAACATCGTCTTCTACTCTGAGCAGCCACAGGATTGATAAAGATTCTCACAAAGGTGGTTCTATTTTGGATTGCCCGTCTTCATCTGCAATGCTGCGGTTGCAGGGCTTCTTCTCCTCGAAAGAACGTTTTTTTCGGACAGAAATTGTCGGCGGATTTTTTTGGGCGGTAAGGTTGTTTCGTCACTCTCAAGTCCACTAAGTTTCTAAGTCCAAATGTCCCGGACCTTGGCAACATCAGGCAGTCGTGTAACCTGCTCTCCCTGTAGGAGTTCCTCCAAGCACCCAAGCACTTGCTACCATGACACTCCCAGCACGACCAGGAAAGGACGGGAGGGGCGTCTCACTCTGCCACTGAGCCTGTGAGACTCCAAAGAATAGCAGATCACTGAGGTTGGAATCAGGAAGACGCAAACAACAAATCATTGAACAGCATGATATGATGCGCTGCTAATCCTCCATTTTCGAACCTGTTTGATCCTGTTTGCACTTTTTGTCGGAACACGTGTTCATCTATTTTCTGATTCCCTTCTGTCTCGGCCTCGGGCAAGTTCATCGTCAGAGCCTGTGGAGCGGTGCGCCGCAAAGTCAGATTGGGGAAGGGCAAAGCTATCAACTACCACTGCTGTTTGAGCTTCCTAGCTCTAGTCTAATCACCTGATATATTACAGTACTTGGAACCATAGGGATGGCGACCGTAGTTGAACATGACCCCGTCTCAAGATGATAAGAATAAGAGATCTGAGTGTGCGGGATAATTATGCTTAATTGAACTTAACTGTATAGGTTGTTGCTCTCAGACTCTCATTCATACATGCCTTTTCCATCCTTTTCCTTTCTGGGCTGGCCTTTCGGTCTTGCCGAACAATGTTTTCTCATTTGGGGGTTTGGTGCATACTCAACAAAAAAGTCAAGCACACCATTTTACTACTACAGTAAGCGAAAGGTCAGTGAGCAGTGAGCAGCGGCAGGACTTGCACACTAACTATATAACCATAGCCCAGCATTAGCCCAAAAAAAAAAAAAAATGTCCGAAAGGCCAACCCAGCTTTTGCGGGGTACGGATGTTGAGATGAACTGCAAAAACAAATCATTCCAAAATGTAGGGAGTCAGTGTCAGGCATGCCGCAAACAATCACAAACATTCACGGCCGCAGAATGTTCACAGGATTCATGCGCCTTGTTTCCGAATCCGCGGGCCCTCACTGTCATCTACACCAACGACAGTTCAATTTTAGAGCGCTCTGTATTGATATCCGTGATCTTTACCTTCACCGTCTGATCCATCGAGTAGCTTTCAGGCGATTCACCATTCATATTCATCTTTGTCAAATGTCCCTCCACCACGCAGCCAATGTCCATGAAGAGGGCGTTCTTGGCTACGCCAACTACTTTGCCATCGAGCACTTCGCCCAACTTGACGTCCGAGAGCGCGCGCCCCTCAAGCTGCGGTGGGGATATCATGGTCACCTCAGGTGCGCCCTACGGTGATCAGATTTTAACTAGACAACATACATGGAGTTTAAAGCACGTGCAGCATGTTACAAATTGAGTTATGATGTCTTAAGTTATGTAAGTTTAACTTGTCAAACTTATAACTTCCGTAACTTGTTTTAGATCAAAAATGTTATGAAATTTGTCAAGTATTTGTGAAATACAGTACAAAACAATTGAAACACATTAGTTTATGCAAAAAATGTTTGTATTTCCACTGAGAGCCTGCTGCGAATCACATCGCATCACATTCAGAGGAAGCATGAAAGCAGAACATCTTGGACGTTGCAAAGAACTTGTTGCTGCATATGTTTTATTTACATATAGCGGCTCAATGAGCCGCCTGACCAGAGTTTGGCTTCAACGATTTATATATTTGCTAAGTTTTATCGGAATGGCGGCTCATTGAGCTGCCAGCCAGGTTGATGATACGCATAGATATTTACATATATCTTCATTCAAAGTTGATGGCGGCTCTTTGCGCCGCTAGTTGGATGATACTTGGGAGTCACTGTGGCCTGTGTGGGCTCCATCACCTACATTGTTCCCTTTTTTTAAATGTTTCTACATTTTCACATGTTTATTACAATTTATCTACATTTTCCTACATGTTTCTACCTGTTTTATTGAATGTTTCTACATGTGTCTACTTGTTTTACATTTTACTACATTCTTCTTACATGTGTCTACATGTTTTGATTTTTTTTACATGTGCTACACGTTTCCTACACATTTATTAAATGTTCCTACATTTTCTACATGTCCTACATTTTCCAACATTTTTTACATGTTTCTACATTTTCTACATGTTTCGATACGTTCCTACATGTTCCACGTTTTTTCTATATCTTTCTCCATGTTCTGCAATTTTCCTACATGTATGTGTCTACATGTTTCCTACATTCTTCTATATTTCCCCTACATTTTTCTGCGATTTGGTTTCATGCCTTGCGGCCCAAAGAGCCGCAAACAAAATTTTAGGGTACAAGGGGCCATTTACGATTGCGTTTCATGTCTTGGGGCCCAAAGAGCCGCAAACAAAAAAACATATCACTACAAAACAACTTGATGGCAATGGCAATAGCGAAATAAAGATCCGCCGCAAACTTCCCGCCAACAAAGAAGAACAAGATGCGCACACATGTCACGCAATGCCCTGCCACATCGAGCTTCAAGCCACCGTTCCATCGAGCGCCATGCAAATCATGATGCGCGCAAAAACAATGTCCATCAAAGTTTATACCATTGAAAAGTTTACTTACCAAACTTAGTTGCAAGTTGTCTTTAAGGTTGTTTTCTCAAAACAAACATCTACTTAGCAAATGCTTTAAGATACAAAACTAACATGCAAGTCCTCTAACATTAACTTACAAACTTAGATAACTTGCTTTACACAGTTGCATACACCCATGTTACAGCCATGCTGCAATTTAGTGGCAAAAAATCTAAAGCGCGCTAGCCAAACCTGATCACCAAACGGGGAAACAACCAAAACTCCATGGTCCAAGGACCTCACGTCCGACCAAAACTTGGAAGGTGGGAAGCTGCTTTAACATTCCGAGGATCGTGGACAGCTGAAAAGCAAATAGACGCTGTGAAAACTGAGGGTCCCTGGAATGCATCTTCTCTTGAGCCAAAATGGCCCGGTTGGACATTTTGGTGACTTTTGTGAACATAAAACTTGCAACCGCAAGCTAAATAAATGCAAGTGTGAATAAGACCTCTTGGCTACAGCACGCTGCATCTGTTGAGCCCACCTCAACCAAGAAGCTCAAGACCGACCATCCGGACAAGAACTCCTCCAGGCGCTCGTCAGCGACAGTGACTCCAGATGCCTCGACCCAATCGGGACAGGTCCCACGCTCTGTCAAACGCTGGCAATTCTGACCTTGAGGCACGAAGATGCCCTGAACGCTCTGGCATGCCAGGATCAATGCATCCTGTTCCTGACACATGGGACGCAGGGGTGACATAACTCCTCATTCAGGCAGCCCAGGACTGCAAACGGCCAACCGGACGACTCCTCTCAGGGTAGTCCTGATGCGGGCTCTGTTGGAAGCACTGATGCGGAGATTCAAAGGGTTCTGTACCAAGGTATCGGAGGAGGACTTTCGACCAAGATCATCCTGGAGGACGGGACCATTCCCTTCTTGCAGTGGTGCCATCACAGAAATGCCTTCTTCCCTCTCAAACTCAGGGAATTGCCACTTCCGAGATGGAGCAAAAGCTTCAGCGACTTCATGCGGCCCTACTAAGCCGGCCAACCTGATCAGGTTCTTTTCACTCAAGACCCAGGCAAAAACAACGGGTGTCACGCCTTGGAAGATCCAACCGGCTATGAGGAATGATCAGCTCATGTATGAGATGAGGTCCCTCATTGGGTCGGCCATCTGGATGTTGGTTGCGGGCCGGCTGAAGGCCCACTCTCAACAACGTTCACGAGCTGTACAGGAGATTCAGGACATAGCGTATCCCCGCCGGCAAGGGAACCGCCGCCACTGAGGGATCTTCTTTGCGGCACACTTTTTGGGGGGCACAGCTGACCACTGACAGCTGTTGGTGTTGGGCAAATGCTGGCCTGCTGCCTTGCTCTGCCGTCAGACTTCTCGTTAGATGACTTTGGCTCTCAGATTCGACGTGTGCGGGCTTTTCTACATCAGCTTCAGGCCACCCCGGGGACAAGTGTGGCTCAGGCTTTTCCCGCTCGCTTTCAACATGCTGCTCAGAAGTGTATGCCGAGAGACGTTGGTGAATTTGTTTCAGAGCTCGTCACATGGCTGGAATCTGAGGCCATATCCATGACATGGGAGAGACGCTACCTTGCTGCTGGCAGCAGATATCCCCAGTCCTTCCATGAACCATGGATTTATGCGGAGTCCATGAGATCTGCATTCCTTTCAGCTGGACCATTGTGTACATATTGATAGAGCTCTCCTGCCCACGCCTCTCCTAGGCCACAACAATCCGCTCGAGCTCGAGGAGCAGGTCTCACTACCGTTCTTTGAGGACGATCAGACCACCACCATCACTTGGATTCCACATGTGCCTGTCAGGGGTAGTTCATTTAGGAAGCAGGACCTCTCGCCACTTTGAAGGCTTGCAACCCGTGAGCTGGATGATCACCCACCTCCCGGCCTGGGCGAAAGAACGTCTTGATCTGGTTTTGCCCTGCCACTTGCGCCTTGGACACGTCCTTGAAGGATTTCGCTGCTGCTTCTCAACATAGTGTGATGGGAGGCTCCTTGACGACTGAGGAGCCTGATCCAGATGAGGTATCTGCTGATGCCACTGAGGAACCAGGACACGGTACCTTGGCTGCTCCTTGGCCTCAATTGCCGGCCACTTGGGAGACACATGAAAACATTGATGATCAACAGCGCCTTTCGTCGCTGCTTTCTCGCATCACCACTGCGCTGGCTGCCCCTACCACTGGCGCTGCGGAGGCGATTGGATCTGCCGCTGGACCTGCTGCTGCCTCCATGCCTCACCTGGGCCGCTGAGCAGCTGCCTGCTGATGTGAAGCTCCTGAGAGACACTGACCGCGGAAGTAGCTCTTGCGAGCTGATCTTGCCCATTTTGACGGGCTGGCACTTCAGCATCTCATTTGCTGAGTGCTGAGTTGACTTTGACTGATCACTTGATGCCATGAATTGTGTTGAATTTTTGGGCCACTGGCCTATTCAACTGCAATGCACACTGCCTAAACGGCTCACTTGTCCGCTGATGTGAAGCTACAAAAGGAACTCCTTTGGAGTCCGCTGGCCCATCGAGCCTGCGAACGGCTGCGCTACCTCTCTGGACGCGTGAGAAGAAGAAGAAGAAGTTATGTTGGAACGGGTTTTGTCGCATACAAGTAGTTCCTAACAGTCCATCTCCCGGGTCCCCCCCTCGACACTTAAGAATAATTGAATACTACCAAAGCGATCGAAATCACACCCCTCGAACAT